TCGATATTTTTGACTTTATCAGAAATTTTCTCGATAACTATTCATCGTAGAGCACTGAAATTTTTAATATATGTCAGAAAATTTAATTTTCTATCTAACGGTACCAAATATAAGAGGATATCTCTAATAAGTCCGGAGTTATTGCCATTAAACCGCTCCGGGTGCCAAAAATCGACCAAAATTTCGACAAAAATCAAAAAAAAAAAATAACTTTTAAATTGATCCATTTAACGTTTTTTACATTTCTAGAGGTCTTAAAGACTCAAATAAGTGCATAAAATGTTATTGGGTCAAGTTTAAAAATCAAAATTTGTTCTTTGGCTCATGTCCCGTCAACTGGAGTCATATTAGGTTAACCTCCAATTTCTTTTTTTTTTTTTTTTAAGTCCCACTTTTCACGATTGAGCTTTGGGACCTTTATAGTTTCATATAGAATCTAAATTAAGACTCACCACTAGTTTTTGGTCGGGCCAAAATTTCATATATTTTGTAATTTTTTGAACTTTCAAAGTTGTTTTAAGCCTATAATATTAATTGACAAGACTGAGAAAAATTACAAGAATCAAATGGTAAACCCCCAAAAAAATTAGTCTGACACAAATTAATTCAATATCTCGGTTTTTAGTGGACCAAAAAATTTCAAATTATGGAATTCTTTTCTTCACACATAACCCTACTATATGATGTAAAACAAATTGCATTGCATAAAAAACATTTTAGGGGTGGATTTTTCAAACCAATAATAACCCTATCGTGTCACCCCTCATACATCTCGGCTAAAAGCATAGATTTTAAAAATATAAAATAAAGTAGGTATTTTGTTTTTCCTAAGCGAGATACGAAAATGACCCTCGCCAAAGTCAAATTTGACTAAACCATTCGATAGACCCTTTCATTGCGCATCTTTTTTTACATACTTCATTTTTACGTGCGACTCATACTTTTCGAGAAATGTACGTTAGAAGTTTCCAGATTTGAATTTGCGCGCTTCATTGCAATTAATTAAGGTTGGTAGTAGTCGGCATACATACGTACATGCGTGTACTTATAGTTGCATATGTTTTGGGGTTCTAAATCCGGTTTAAGGTAATTAAAATAAAACAATTGTTTTTTATTAGAAACCAATTAAGACACAGTTCATTTTTTTTAATTATATTCAAAAAGTCCCAACTATCTTGTTACTTTTTTAAATAATCAAGCTTTGTAAATTAGAACAAATCGATAAAAATGTGTCGTTTTAGTTCGTTTTTTTGAACTAAAAGTAAAGATGCAATAAATCCACAATAAAAATTGATTGATCATCTTATTATTTATTATTTCAAAATGAAAAACAAGCAAGTTTAAAAAAAAATATTCAGGGTGACTCATTTAAAACGATTCAATTTCAACACAATAGGTGTATACGAGGAGCCGTTAATCTAAAAATAATGTGTACAACTAATTCCAAAGAAAATCCACTGAAATTTCAGTAATTGCAAAGAATTCCACCAAAATTTCTTTTGTTCTCAGCCGAGGGGACGATTGAAATCTTTTGTAATTATTTAGAAGTTTAGAATTACTGAAATTATTTGTAAATTACTAGATTTTTTTTGAAATTACATGATTTTTTTTAGAATTATCGGAGATGATTTTTTTACGTTGAATAAATTTGGATTTACAGGAATTATTGTGAAATTACAAAAAATAAGTCGAAATTATTTCAAAATTATAGGAATTAATCTGAAAATGAGGAGCCGTTCATTTGACAAAATTGCATACAACTAATTCCGATTCGAAAAAAATTCTACCGAAATTTCAGTAATAACAAAGAATTCTACCAAAGGTCTAGTTATTCCAGTAATCCATTTTCAAAACAAAAATTCCAGTAGGTAATTCACAAATAATTCTCGTAATTCCAAAAAATCTAAAGATAATTGTAATAAAACCAGACTTTTGGACCACATGTATATTATCATAGTCCGAAAAAACTCATTTTGTTGGCTATTTTTATGCGCATATCCAAAAAAGTAATATTTCGCAGCAGTGTGCCACTTGTATCAGGCCGGGAACATAAAAAGGCACTAAAACCAATGTCTTTCATGCATGGTTGCCAACACACGTCCTTGAAAAATAAATGTGGGTCAGGAGGTCAACGCGCTCGCTCTTTCGCCGCACCGTCTGCGTCCCCATCAGCCACCAGGTAATCAGAACAATAAGAAACAACCCCATTTCCAACATTTCTTATTGATCACTGTTTCTAATATCATGCTTATGTTTTCCTGTTCCAGGTGAAACGCCATTAACAGGTGTCTCCCTGAATAGCCACCTGTTACACCGGAAACGCCTTCATCGCAAAAAAGACACCGGAAACTGGCCACCACCACGCCTACCCCGTGAAAAATACACACAAGTCAAGCTGTCTCTCTTCGATTGGGGTGAAGTCTTTTGATTTTTTTTTGAAGCACACCAAGGGGGACCTACCGAACATTTAATATCACGGTTTGTTGACAGCCTCCGATGGAAGGATTTAGCCGGTTCTGTCTCGCCGTCGCTCTCGGAGGATTCTTCGCCGCCTCCTGGAGACCGTCCAGCCAAATTCTTCGCACTTTTACCACCCGACGCCATACTACAATGCCGACATTTCTTTATTTATAAACACGACGCCCCCGACGCACACGACGCCCGACAGGTGGCGCTTTAATTGGGGCAAACGCCGGGAAGTAACAACACAAAGTTGGAAAAATCTAGTAAATTTAAGTTTATTATGTTGCATTACTACTTTAGTAATTTTAATGAGTTTAAACTTGCTACATGAAACAAGAACTCATTTTTTGTTATTTCAAAGTCGGGAAGTTTTAGCAAGATTTAGTTGGCATGTTGGCAAGACTGAAATTACAGTCGACCGAAAATTTGCTGCTCGTGTTGCGTTGTGGCATTTCCCCCACCACTCTCGTTTCGTGCAGCCAGGTTCACACTCGAAAAATTATTGGAATGTTATTATAATAAAGCATAATATTTTACAAAACATGGAAAAATAAGCATTTTCAATTGCAAATGACTATTGTAGATAGTTTTTTGAATGTAATTCTGTCATGAATAACAATTTCAATGAATTATATTGTTGCAACTGTGCGATTCAAGGTCAAATATATTTCACTTATGCATTGTTAATTTTATTTTTTCAAGTGTCATCCCGTGTATCGATTTTTTTCATTTTTGCAGGAAATAAAGCTTATTAAAAGGGCATTTGACCGTAAAAAAATGGTGGGGTTGCAATGGCTTTTTAGGGCTGCAATGAATTTTTTTCGTTTTCTCAAAATTTGTTTGTGATACAAACTTTATTTTTTTCAAGTGTCATCCCGTGTATCGATTTTTTTAATTTTTGCAGAAAATGAAGCTTATTAAAAGGGCATTTGACCGTAAAAAATGGTGGTGTTACAATGGATTTTTAAGGCTGTAATGAATTTTTTTCGTTTTCTCAAAATTTGTTTATGATACAAACTTTATTTTTTTCAAGTGTCATCCCGTGTATCGATTTTTTAATTTTTGCAGAAAATGAAGCTTATTAAAAGGGCATTTGACCGTAAAAAAATGGTGGGGTTACAATGGCTTTTTAGGGCTGTATTGAANAGGGCTGTAATGAATTTTTTTCGTTTTCTCAAAATTTGTTTATGTTACAAACTTTATTTTTTTCAAGTGTCATCCCGTGTATGGATTTTTTTTTATTTTTGCAGAAAAAGAAGCTTATTAAAAGGGCATTTGACCGTAAAAAAATGGTGGGGTTACAATGGCTTTTTAGGTCTGTAATGAATTTTTTCCTTTTCTCAAAATTTGTTTATGAAACAAACTTTATTTTTTTCAAGTGTCATCCCGTGTATGGATTTTTTTCATTTTTGCAGAAAATGAAGCTTATTGCAAGGGCATTTGGCCGTAAAAAAATGGTGGGGTTGCAATGGCTTTTTAGGGCTGCAATGAATTTTTTTCCTTTTCCCAAAATTTGTTTATTATACAAACTTTATTTTTTTCAAGTGTCATCCCGTGTATCGATTTTTTTCATTTTTGCAGAGAATGAAGCTTATTGAAAGGGCATTTGACCGTAAGAAATGGTGGGGTTCCAATGGCTTTTTAAGGCTATAATGAATTTTTTTCGTTTTCTCAAAATTTGTTTGTGATACAAACTTTATTTTTTTCAAGTGTCATTCCGTGTATCGATTTTTTTCGTTTTTGCAGAAAATAAAGCCTATTAAAAGGGCATTTGACCGTAAAAAAATGGTGGGGTTGCAATGGCTTTTTAGGGCTGTAATGAATTTTTTTCCTTTTCCCAAAATTTGTTTATTATACAAACTTTATTTTTTTCAAGTGTCATCCCGTGTATCGATTTTTTTCGTTTTTGCTGAAAATAAAGCCTATTAAAAGAGGCTGTAATGAATTTTTTTCGTTTTTTCAAAATTTGTTTATGAAACAAACTTAATTTTTTTCAAGTGTCATTCCGTGTATCGATTTTTCTCATTTTTGCAGAAAATGAAGCTTATTAAAAGGGCATTTGACCGTAAAAAAATGGTGGGGTTGCAATGGCTTTTTAGGGCTGTAATGATACGAACTTTATTTTTTTCAAGTGTTATCGATTTTTTTAATTTTTGCTACCTTCACCGAGGTAAGTTTTAGTCAATACACAAATTCAATCATGCTGGATTTAAAAGTTTGGGGAGTTGGTGTTGCCCAGTTGGTGTCCCTGACGTGCGGCGTTGCCGTGTGTGTGTTTCAAAGGATGTTTTGGTGGCGTCATTTTCGTGAAAAACCTTAAACGATGAGTTTTTCCAGCGACGAGGTGAATTTCCTCGTTTATAGATATTTGCAAGAATCGGGTGAGTAGGCTGTGTCCGACATAACCACATTTTTTGCTTTGTTATTGTCAGGTTTTCAACACTCTGCATACACTTTCGGTATTGAATCGCATATTTCCCGATCAAACATCAATGGGGCCCTTGTGCCCCCCGCTGCACTTCTCAGTATTCTCCAAAAAGGTTTGCAATACACCGAAGCCGAAATCAGTATAGGGGAAGATGGACTGGAACAAAGACTAGTTGAGAGTTTGAGTTTAATCGATGCTGTGATGCCTGATGTGGTGGCGAGTCGCCAAAACCAGCAAAATGCCCAGAAACAGCCCATCAAGGCTGAAATCACTGACACAAACGGCGAGGAAGGTGAGCCCCAATTCCCAAAACAACCCCAATTCAACTAACTTAAATTGTAGCTGTAGTCTCCACACAGAACGAAAACATGGAAGTGGACACATCGATTGAGATTCCTACTTCGAAAGCCACTGTTTTGCGGGGGCATGAATCAGAAGTCTTCATTTGTGCTTGGAACCCCACTACGGATTTGTTAGCTAGTGGGTCTGGGGACAGCACAGCCCGGATTTGGGACATGTCCGACAACACCGCGAGCCCCAATCAATTGGTTTTGAGGCATTGCATCCAGAAGGGTGGGACTGAAGTGCCCAGTAACAAGGATGTTACATCTCTAGACTGGAATGTTAGTACCGTAATATCGTTTTTTTCTAATTTGTGTTTATTAACGTCTCCAGTAGGAGTGCAAACTAAATTCTAAAATTGAAAATTTTATTTTTAATGACAGACGGCAGAAATGAGTCAAAAAATCAGGTGGGCGTCGAGTGTTACCAACTAACACAAAATTCTCTAGACGACAAAAATATATATTTTTATTTAAAATAAGAAAAAAGGGGGCGTAAATTAGAAAAAATAGCATAAAATAGTCGTTTTTTAATTAAAATGACAAATTAATCTGGATTGAGTTTACCAAATGGGGTTTTTGTTTTTGTTTGATTACTTACCTACATGACTGACATTTTATTCGTTTTTTTCACTGTTTTTGTTGCTTGTTCGTTATTCCCAGTATTTTTTCAAATTATAATTAAAAGTAGTTGTCTTCAGAACCCCAGATTTCTTTTTGTTGTTCCTGTTTTAGGTTAATGGAATGTTTCCGCATATTTTCACATTACACTTTTGTATTTTTCTGTTTTTTGTTTGTTTACTATTTTCTTGTTTCATTTAATCTTCCTGTTTAGTTATATTAAATTACTTTCAGGTTTTCTGTTTTTTCGATTTTTTTGACTATTTTTATCCATTTTTGATACTACTGTCCTACATTCTTCTAATTTTAAGTCCAATATTCGTTTTTGCATATTGTTATTCCTTTTTATGTTGTGCTTTCTTTTTACTCGTTTTTAACATTCTTGTTTCCAATTTTTCAACTTTATTTCTTTCTTTCTTATTTTTTGTAAATTCTATCTTAAATGTTTTTTTTTTAAACTTTCTTTCAAATCAGTTTTGTCATTAAATTTGTTCTGCTTTCGCAAATTATCTTATTCTGATATTTTTTGTTTTTGGTTTGCTTTTAAATTAACTAATGACAAACTGAAACAAAGTATCTAAACAAAATGAATACTATATTGTATTAATTTTGCAAAAAAACTTTTAAATTATCAGAAAATTTGATGGAAAAAGTAAATCATCTGTTTTTATTTTTTTAATAATGAATTTAAATTAATTTTTTTTTCTCAGTGGATTCAAAAAAAATACAGATTAAAGATTTTATACGACTTTCAAAAAAATTTTCGCCTGACTTTCTTGAAGAGTGTGAGCCATTGTCGCGAAATGTCAACAACTGTCAGAAGTGTCAAATTGAATTATTGAAATCCAACGCATTCTTTGTGATTTTTTTTTTAAACGCTAATTTAGGCACTTTTAGACCTTTTTTCTCTATGAAACTCTACTACTTTGTAGAATTATGATTAAATTTTTGTTTTTTTACTTTTACTCAATCTTTTGCCGTTTTCTACTTTTAGTGCTTCCAAATTTTCCAACAATTTCCAGGAAAAAACAATTGCTATCGCGTGACAAAGATGGCTAAATTAACGTTTTGTGAATGTGAAAGCGTTCAAGCTATCACGTTTTAGTAATAGATAATAATGTTTTATAACA